GTCCATACATCATTTTCCCCGATGCGCTTCAGATTTGGACGTACTATTTTCCGTCCTGGAATTCTAAGACCCAGATGATCCGCAGCAGCAACCCGAGATGTCAAAATCCACTCCTGCAACCAAAAAAAGCATCATGTTAACAAACTGGAAAGTAGAAAACAAAACCAAAGGGCTGGTATCCAAATGCGTACCTCTAGCTTTTTAGATTCATCATCTGCATCCTGAATGTCTTGGTACTGGACCTTAACCTTATCCTTGTGCTTCTTCATTATCAGCGCCTTGAACCAACAACCTCTGATGCCACTATCTTCGGAAAGTACTTCAACAAGTGAACCCTTTTTAATGAGACTGGAAGAACAATCTTTTGCGCCCTTGCACATAGAAGCATCTGGAGAACCCAAGTAAACAGAATCTGGCCTGGCTTTGCAGTCAGCTTTCACGTCATCTACAGATGGGCCATCCAAAATCTCAGCACCACTAGGACGACATCGTTTCCTCGATCTAATACCAACACAACCAACCAGAGAAGCTCCTAATCCTGGGTCAGTACCAGGTGCTTGAGCACCTTCACCCGACTTTAAAATGGATACGTTCAGGTATCTAAGCATTTCTTGTCTCCAGTAACCTTCTAATTGTGTAATGTCATACGGCTTTACAACATCATCTCCATATAATTTCTTGCAGAAGAAGGCTACTAGCTGAACATGCATTGGCACCTTGAGAAATTTCTCATAATGCTGAGGACTGAGGACAGTAGCCAATCCATCTATGCACTCAATGTTGATATCTTGACGACAAAGAGAAAAGAAAATCTCTCTATCATTAACATCGTCGGTCAAAACAATACCAACCTCGTCAGTTTTATGAAACCATCGTACCACAACCATCCTTTTGCCTTTAGAATCCTCATAAAGGTCTTCCAAGTATGCAACAAGTCTCTTATTTTGCTCCGCTAAAACATACACAAAATCGTTCACCTGCAATGAGTTTGTGGAAAAGAGAAAGGTGAGCTTTTAGCATAAGGAAACTAACAGAATATAATTACATAGAGTAAATCAAAACCAATTGAACTTAAAAAAAAAACATTAAAATTAACTCACCGAGACTTTGACCCCATTCCTGGAAAAAGATGCATAATGCTTGCGCTTTTTCTTGCAAGTCCAAGAAGAACCCATCCAGGAGAAATTGATGGTCTGATGAATAGGCTTCTGAAACTGACCGTTCTGAAAAGAAACATAAGAGAAACTGATTAATATTTCATTCTCTACTCAAACAAGAAAGCCATCTATACTTGAGGGAAAAAAGCTCTTTGTAAAAGGATGTACCATCATAGTGACAATATTTAATCCTCCAGCAGCTGGTTCAGTCATAGTAGTAGCTGGTACATCTGCTCTATGAGGCATCACACCTAAATTTTGAAGAGAACCAGAAACAAAAAAGATGAGCAATATATCAACAAATGTCGATCTCTAAGTACAAGATTAAACAAAACTTGAAAAATATCAATTCGTGCAGACATGCTCAGTACCAAAAGGTGGAAACCGGATCTGTCTGCACCAAAATTTAAGTCATTAATATGTTTAGCTGCAAAAGGCGCAACAGAAGGAGGTGAGATCTCTAAGAAAACAGAGCAACATTTCCAAGAAAATTCACAGCTCAATTTGCACAGAGAACAACTCCTGCAATTAAACATGTAAGCACTTCGATAACCCTATACAAGTAAAGGGTTCTTAGAATGAAAATCTGAGAGTCAATTATTCACATTATCTTCCTCAATTCAAAGCACAAGCCTTTCTAACACACCTCCGAACTACTTAGCTAGGGATGATCCTAGATATCCATAAAACTACATTATTGAAGGAGAACAAAGGGTTATCAAATTCCTCAGCAATTTCACAAATCGATGTGAAGGCGATTTCCACACGAGATTCCAGATCTAAGCTTTATCTCGCTCCAATACAAAATTAAGAACAAACAACCGATAAAACCCCAGAAAAAGAGCACAGAGAGAGAAATCGATGTATAGAGGATTGAGAGAAATTACCAGAAACGATAGAATCGAGCCAATCCGTAACGTCTTCTCGAGAGTTAAGCTTCTTCAATACGGAACGATTCTTTTTCAAGGCGTATCGATAAGACATGCGTTTWMWMTTRTTKAWSKTKCSYKSAKCASCGAGATCTACACCTCTCTCTTTCCTCTCGAGATAATAATGAACCTCCATCTTCCCTTTCGCGTTCCTCACATACAGCTCTTTCCAGCCGGAATACGACGGCGTTTCCGATGACCACGCCATATTCTCTCCACCGGCGAGCAATCAATAAAAAAAAACAAAAACCTTCCCGCGGAATCGTCAGCTAAACCCACTCTATAACCCTAATTGTACCCTCTCTCGCTCTACGCGTCGTGAAATCTGAAATCTCAG